CCCACTTTCTAAATGTTCCAGGAACCATGATCTCATCTATAAGTAGTTTGAGTTATTATGAGTTTCACAGATTCGCTGACAGTACTTTTGCACTGCGAACGGTTGATGACATTGATATTATTAAAGTTATTAAAAGTCTCACATCGAATGCCGAGGGGCATGATTGTATTACTCTGAACATGTTTATTATGACACTACCCTACACCTTGACATGCTTGACAAACATCATAAATACATCAATCACCACCTCAACCTTTCCTGACTATTGGAAACTGGCAATTGTACGCCCGATACCAAAAAAATGCTCGCCTACCGTTGTGACTGATCTTAGACCCATTAGCATTCTGCCCCTGTTATCTAAGGTTCTGGAGAGGGTGGTAAACACACAACTGACACAATACCTAGAGGCAAATGCCATTCTTCCTGAATTACAATCAGGCTTCAGGAGGGGTCGTGGCACAACGTCGGCTTTGCTTGATGTCACTGACAACATACTGTCTGCACAGGACAAGGGCTTCTGTACTATCTTGGTGCTATTAGACTTTTCCAGGGCTTTCGATGCCATAAATTTAACGCTCCTGCTGTCGAAACTGGCTTTTTATGGCTTTGATACTCCAACTGTGAGATGGTTCGACAGCTACCTCAGCAATCGTGCTCAGTACGTCGAATTACGAGATCAAAAGGGAAATATCAATAAGTCACAAACGACTCCCCTAATAAAGGGCGTGCCTCAAGGCTCAATTTTAGGCCCCACATTATTTATTACATATAGCGCAGACATGGTAAAGGAAATTAAGCATTGTCAATACCATGTATACGCTGATGATCTTCAAATATACTTGTCATTTAAACCTCAAGACTATGAGTCTGCCACCAAAAAAATAAATAAAGATCTGGAGGGTATATTTGTATGGTCGGAAAAAAATTCCTTAATACTAAACCCAGCCAAAACCAAATTTATGATCTTTGGCACCCCAGGCTTATTAGATAAAATTCCACTGAGCACTTCCGTAAGCATTAATGTAAAGGGTCAAAATGTAGAAAGAGTAAGTGAGGCGAGAAACCTGGGCCTTGTAATGGATGAAGGTCTAAGGTTTGAACAGTTTACTTCTGATTGTGTAAGAAGTTGCTTCTACCGTTTGAAAATTTTATATAAAATACGACCCTACTTGTGCGAGGAGCTGCGTGAGCGGTTGGTGGAGAGTTTGGTTCTGTCAAAACTAAACTACGCAGATACTGTTATAGGCCCCAGGCTCTTGGCACGCACCGGGAGATTAATACAAAGAGTACAGAATGCCTGCGCACGATTTTGCTACAGTGTTCCACCAAGGAGTCATGTAACACCATTTTTGAACAAACATAACGCATTAAAAATGAAATCACGCCGGAAACTCCACCTCGCCTGTCTAATGTTCGACGTGATAAAACACAAGTGTCCTCCATACCTGTACTCTAGGTTTGAATGGGTTAACAGTCACCGGGAGCGTGAGGGTAGGCGGTGTGCTCAGCAGCTCGCTATTCCTCGGCATAGAACTGCAGCTTTTCGAGGCAGCTTCCGTTACGCGGCTTCCAAGTGCTGGAATAATATTCCACCACCAATTAGAAATCTGAAAAATAAAAACACGTTTAGGTTAAAATTAAAAACTTTTATTTTGACATCCCAAATTAAATTTAACGACATTAATATTGACAATTCCTTTATCTAATTTCAGTTTATTGTTCCAATTTATTCAAATTACACTTACTTTTATATGCCAACTTGGAAGTCTTTGCGTGTTGGTTGGGTGCTCAACGTGTGAGCATTGTTTTAATGTACCTCGCCATTATTTTAATTCTCGTAATTAAGTTGAGTGTTTTAATTGTGATCATTTCGCCACTCGTAAACTATGCTGGAGTTTGGTGTCCTGTGGCCGGCGGCTGTTTCTTTGTGGGTACGCGTCGGAATGAATCAGAGCTCAGCAGAGTTGTCACTAAAACTGTCTTTGTTTGACAATCAAAAATGTGAAATAACCCCCAATTAATTAAAAAAAAAAGAGTAAACGTCAAAAGAGACTAACTCTTATAATTGCTTTTTTACATTTTGTCTGTATGTATATACATGTACTATCGGTTATATATGTTATTCTATTCTCAATTTTTCACACACACACACACACACACACACACACATATTCAGCTAAATTTATATTATTTATACAACTGCATGTTTATTTTTTGTCTTCATTGAGGGGCGGCACCGCCGTCCGTGAGTCACTGCAGGGTGCCACCTGAAAACCAGCGTTGGGCACAAACGTCCAACTTTTTGCTGAGGTGGAGGCCCTTTTGGCAATAGCACGCGCAAATTAAAATTAATATTATTATTTTGTTTATTAGATTTTTTTTTTTTTTTATTGTTTATTCAAAATTCTGTAAGTATTGTATGTATTCTGTAGATGTATTTTTATTTTTTTATATTCTTTGTTTTCTGTGCGTGTAATTGCCAAATAAATGATTTTTCTTTCTTTCTTTCTTCTTTTACTTCCTCCTTTTTTGAAGTCGGTAATAACATTCGACGAAACAGCACGGGTTGTAAAAGTATCTAAAAATATAGTATATAATAATTCAATTGAATGTAGTTTTTGTTTCCTAAGTTATTAAGAACTTTACTCATCATAATAATCACGCCTTTTATCCCAAAAGGGATAAGCAGAGGTGTACTTTACGGTACCTACTAAATGCCACTACACAATGTAACACCCTCTTTTAACTATTTATGTTAAGAGTCCCATGTAATAGCGGGTGAGCGTATTGCCATATACCGGGCACAATTCCAGACTCCGTGCTACTACTGAGATTTGTTTTAAGAACCCAGTAATACTTTGCCTGATCCGGGACCCGAGACTCCTCGCAAGCAGTCGCACTTGCGACCACTCGGCCAACGAGGTAGCGAATTTTAAATTCCGTTCCGTTAAAATAAAGATTTTCCCAAGTTTCCTATTAACTGGCATGGTTAAGGTACTTTTCATTTATACTTACTTTCCTTGTTTTAAATAGGTTTTTTCTTGTCACTTCCACTGTAAGTCTCAAATCTCATCCATACATGGTCCACGGCCCTTATAACACAATTCAACCCAACTATTTCTGTGGGCGACTCGAGTAAATCGTCGCTAATGCAATAAATGGCAATCTCAACTAATGTGTCTGTCTGTCTGTCCATCACTTTAGAATGAGGGTAATTGTTTGTGTTAGTATTACTGTAGTTATTTGGACCTTTATTGCTTGTTTCGTCTTTTATTAGGATTGATGTGTATGACACACATATCTGGTGTTTGTTTCGGGTTGTTAAACAAAGGGTTTTTAGAAGAAATTGTTCCACAGCCATTTTCTTTTATTTTATCATCTCCATCAACAGTCTTTGATAGTCCATTGCTAGAACATGGACGTCCTTCTCCTTTATTTTATGGAATAGGAGGCAAACGAGATGACGGATCACCTGATGGTAATCGATCAGCGCCGCCCATGGACACCCGCTACACCAGAGGAGTCACAGGTGCGTAGCCGGCCTTTTCAAAAGGAATACGGTCTTTTCTTCAAGGTTTGAAGGTTTCTTCTCAATATAAGAGGGTTTGCAACCAGCCAGAGTTGGAGACAGTAGTTTATAAGCTTCATGTTTATCAGAAAGTGCTACTGCCTGGACACTATCAAACTTCAGATTTATATTAAGTACGAATTGTGTAAATTATCTTGAATCATCCATCAGATTATCTTGAAGATAAGAATGCTTGGCAGCATGTTGGTTCGGCTTCACTGGACAATACTCAAATGTAGTCAGTAGTTCAGATTCCAATAATAGGTCATTTAAAACATTGGATGCCGTGTCGGACAATGATGTCCAACGCTAGCGGAGGATTAGCCTTTAACAGTTTTTATCGGCATTTAAAGGCTACTTTGATTCTGATTAAGGTAATCTTCTACATTTCTTTCCTTATTGAAATAAAGAGTTTCTATAGTATGGATTGTAAGTATGCATATGTGAGCACCATGTTAGACGGGTAATTATAGATGATATTCATTTTATTGTAAAACACTTTCTTGAGAAGTTGTTCCGTGAATTCAAACATTTGTTACAGACTGAAAGCCCGACTTAATAAAACGTGTTTGAAGAACTTTATCTTAATGAGCGACGCCGGTTTTCATTAATTTAATAATCTAAACTAGGTTTATTGCTGTCTGTCAAAAAATATACCAATAGGCTCGCAAGGAATCTCAATATGTGCGACGTAACTACTTGAAATTGTAGCATGAGCATTTCTTCAACATGTTACCTGAAGGATAGTGATTAATGGACTGACTCTCATGCCACCCAATCCTTCGTAATAGTCGCGGAGAACCTAACGGGTAACCGGGGCTCCGGCTCGACGTGCAGGAGAAGAAACGGGGTGGTTTTTAGTCAGTAAGAGTCTGACACTCCCTCCCGCCTCACCCAGGCGGGAGCAGTTATTCGATGATTTCCCCCCTTTAAAAAAAACCTTTGTAATAAGCTTCACCGTGACAAAACATCAACAGGAAACATATTCTTATCGTACGTGTCCAAAATTATATGAGTATAATGTCTTTGATTACATTTTATATATCATAACACGTATTGAGTAGATATAATTAAGTATAGGTACCGCCAAGACTTTTTTATGAAACCTGTATCCGCGACTTCGCCCGCGTAGAATAGTGATTAACATCTCCTCGCCCGTTGGTGATAGCGTGATAATATGTAGCCTATATGTTGACCCTACCTGCTAGTAGTATTCATGCAAGTAAATCCTTGCAGTACTTCTTGAATTTAGACCAGACATACATACCGTGAAACAGACAAAAATGTTAAAAACTAAAATACACTTTTAGCTTTGATATCGATTGTAAAAAATTGTAAAATAATCAGTTTCCACTTTCCTGCGATTTTATTATAATATGTATATCAATAGGTGACATAAACCTTAGCTCATAAAAATAATATCCTCTCTCACCTGCGCTTCAACAGAGGCCAAGAATATCGTTACGAAATCCTTGCCACCAGTCACACAGGTCTTCTTAGGCGGGTCAGGTTCGAAGTCGTAGTGAGCCAGGGCCGTGATGTACCAAAAGACTGCGAAGACCAGCCAGATCGCGAAGTGGACCACTATCGTGCCGATGACGATCCAACGCCAGCGTAAGTTGATCTGCAAGGAAAGATGTTAGCAGTATTTTGATGGTTTAATAATGAATGTCTCCTGGTATTTTATTTTTATGGCATAAGCCGGTAAACGAGCAGACGGATCACCTGATGGTAAGCAATTGGCGTCGCCTATGGACACCTGGAACACCAAAGGCGTTACAAGTGCGTTACCGGCCTCTTCGGGATTAGGAGTCTCCGGTAACCTTACTCACACAACGAAACACAACACAAGCGTTATTTCACGTCAGTTTTCTGTGAGGTCGTCGTATCACTCCGGTCGAGCTGGCCCATTCGTCCCGAAGCATGGCCTCCCACACTTATTAAATTGATATTAATAAGAACTGCTTTTGTTAATGGGTAATCGCTTACCATCATGTAAAACATTCAACTTATTTGGTGTTTTTCTGAGAAATCTCTATTTAGTCAGGAAACTCAATTTCTCATAACTATGAAAGCGGTAGGACCACTTACCAAAGTATGAAAAGTATCATTCAGCAATCGAATCTTCTCGAATGGCACATTCGATATGAGAGCTACATTCTCCATGCCGGTCTTGGAGACCAGGCGCTTGGGATGGTCTCCGTACCCTGGCCTCGTGCGCTGGGGATGCCTGAAATCACTACAATACAATGTGTAAACATTAAGTATTTAACTAAATTGATTTTGATATTACGGTTGAACTAGTGAATTGTTGTAGTGTCGATATATCGTAATTTGTATTGAAAAATGCAACATAAACATACCCGGCGAATTCCCACCTCTTCTTTTTTGGAAAGTCAGTTAAAATGGTATCTGCCTATTACATAACATAACATCACGCCTTTTATCCCCGGAGCGGTAGGCAGAGTGCACATTACGGCACTTAATTCCACTGTAGAATGTAACACCCACTTTTCGCTATTTATGTAACGAGTTTCATGTAATAAGGGTGAGCGTATTGCCATATACGGGACACATTTCCAGATTCTGTACTACTACTGAAATACCCAGTAATACTTTGCCCAACCCGAGAATCGAACCCGAGACCTTGCCCGGCATTTGCACTTGCGACCACTCCGCCAATGAGGCACCTACCTATTACTGAAACAAAAAAAGACACCGTAAAGAAAGGTGTGATGGTTTTCTCCTGACCTACTACTGTAATATAATAACTTTGTCATATAGCTTTCAATGGAGGCGTACCCATCTACAGGATTTTATAAAATCCCGTGTTGTTTTGCTTACTATGATAGTACTAGTAAACTATGGCCTTAATGGTCATTAGATTAGCGTTTAAATTTAGCCACACAGGTGACATCGACCTTAACATCAATCTGACATAATCCTCGGCACATTCTCGTCAGATAAGCTATGCAAACAGCTGGGCACGAGGAAGCCTTCAAAACTAGAAGTAGTTGTATTGGTGGCATTTCTTTTACACGAAGTTGCTTTATCTGTATGTATGTTGAATAAATTTTAGCTATTGCGTAGTATCTTATATCTTATTCCTATTATATAAAGCGGAAGTTTGTTTGTTTGTTTGAACGCGCTAATCTCCGTAACTACAAGTCTGATTTGAATAATTCTTTTTGTTTTGGATAGTGCATTTATCGAGGATGGCTATAGGCTATAAAACATAACGCTACGACTAATAGGAGCTGAGCAGAGCGTGTGAAACCAAGGGGAAGTAGCTAGTTATACTATAAACGAACAATTTTTGGAACCCAAGTTTTGAATTAAGGTCTGGGGGCACGGCAAAAAATTGCCACTTGGAAAACGTGGTGTTACCCTTCATCGGCAAAGTCACACAACATTAACTATAATAATAAAGAAATCGCAATAAGGAACCTTAGACTTGGCACGACTTTGTTATATTTAATTACTTTTTAGAGATAAACTAGCAGCTCCATCGAGACTTGGATAGTTTTTTACAGAATGTAAATGTCGTTTACTAAAATAAACGCCGATCAAAGCCCGGTCATACTAGTTTTTAATTAAAGCTACTGTTACATTTCATATTTGCGGCGATGCCTTGCCAACCATCTCGTAAGCGTTTTCAAAGGTGTGAGGCGATGTGACGCATAATAAGACTAGAAACTACAATCTTACATTGGTCATCTACTGACATAACACGTAACTAGGTATGCAATTGTGAAACTTTTCGTTACTTATAACGAAATTAAATAAATAAGCCTTTATTTTGAACATGCAAACACATGGTAACTAATAACTAGTATTATTCTCTAATTTGTTGCTTGCTTATATTTTACAGATCCTTTTGCCAAACGGCAAAGGCCTCCTCCAACCTTTTCCATTCCTGTCTTTCTTGGGCCGCTCTATTCCACATAACTCCCGCCACCTGCCTGATGTCATCATCCCACCTTTTCAGTAACACAATCGTATCCCAGAGAAAAGAAAAGGAACAGATGCGGACCACTTTTTGTTACTTAATGATTGCTGAATTATGTTTCTCGTAAGGTCATTTTTTTATACTTAATAGGTCGACGTTTGGCCACCATCTCGCCTGGTGTTAAGCGATGATGTGGCCGACGATGGAGCACGCTTACCTATGAGCAACCTGTTCACCCACCTGTTCACTTGAAGACACCCAAGTCATATATATCGGGAAACACAGCCTCTGGCAAGGAATTCCATTCCTTAGCGGTTCGCATGAGGAAGCTTGACGCGAAACGCTTCGTGCGAATAGGTGGAATGTCCACCGTATAAGGGTGACGCCCAGCTGTTCGTCTGGTGGTACGGTGGTGAAATGGACTAGGGGGAATAAGGTTGTGCAATTCTCACGCACACACACACACTAGCCCATTTCTAAACGACACCGTTGAACCTAGACATGAAGATCGAATCCAAGACTTCCTGCTTTGTCTTTACTAACAACCAATCAAATAACAATAAGATTGTTGTCTATTACTTTTTTATACCATTGTTATACCGCTACCTCTAACAACGTCTTTGCAGCTGACCACCTACCGCATACATTTCTGCACTACCCAAAGGATAGATGACGCAACTGTGTATAACTTAAATAAATAAATAATTTAAGAATCTATCTGTTCAGCGCGCTCATTTAATAATAGTTTTAAACAACACAAAATAAGATAATTTAAGTCAATCTCAAAAAATCTCCTCCACGTCATTCCTTGTATAATTTCCAAAGTGCGTCACTGGTAACATGACAGTGTACACATATCTCTGCAGTCTGCGACTATTTGTACGAGATAATTACTATACAAGGTGTTGTTTTAAAGCCGCGTCATTTTCTAGGAGGTAACTTGGCTATCGATTCTGAGTCCGAATCAATAAAAGAAATTGTAGGTAATTATTTTTCATTTTTCTGTAAATTACGGAAATCCGTAAGTGCGAACTACACGCCACCATCTTGTAACTAGCTTAATAACGTGGCTTAACACACACAAACTCAAACACTTAATTGATATTATTCCTAATTCCATAAAACTCCAATAAGTTACATTGCAGTCGCTTATTCTGAAATACTGTCGAACTTAAACGATTTATTATAGCCGTATTTTTAACTACTGGCCCGAAACTTTTTCTTACATTGAACCTTTATGACTTCTGTGACATGTCCCCGAGCTTCAAAACTACACCTTGTATAACATACACGTATACATACATAGTATACATAGTCAATACTTTAATATAATTTAATAACATAAGCCCACTGTTATTTCAAGAGCATTCTTAATTACGGACAACGTAATATAGGCTTTAAGACTTCTGAGAAAAGTCAGGTGGAGTTTTGTGACTGGTGCATTACTTTATATAAGAACTAGCGGACCCAACAGACGTTGTCCTGCATATCCACTTGAATGTATAAACAAAAATTCATTCAAATTAGTTCAGCTGTTTAGGATAAATAACCTAAACATCGACTGCAGCGCCATCTGCCGGGCTGATTTGTGAATCTAAACCATTTCCAGATCCCCTTGAACACGCACAAAAAATTTCATCAAAATCGATCCAGTCGTTTGAGAGAAGTTCAGTGACATACGCACTCACAGAAGAATTATATATATAAAGATTTTATAAACATTTGTGTACAAAAATACGGCAATAGGCTCACCTCCTATTATATGGGACATATGGGATATAAATATGTAAAAGTGGGTGTTACATTTTACAGCGGCATTAAGCGCCGTAATGTGCACCTCTGCCTACCCCTTCGGGGATAAAAATCGTGATGTTATGTTGTGTGCAAGATAACGTGTAATTTAATTTCAGAAACAATTATACGTAGAATAAATATTTATTGTATTGTATACCGAATTTATTGACTGCCTCGTTGGCCGAGTGGTCGCAAGTGCGACTACTGGGCAAGGGGTCTCGGGTTCGATTCCCGGGTCGGGCAAAGTATTATTGGGTTTAAAAAAAACCTCAGTACTAGCACGGAGTCTGGAAATGTGCCCGGTGTATAGCAATAGGCTCACCCCCTATTACATGGGACTCCATAACATAAATAGTGAAAAGTGGGTGTTACTTCTGTGTGCACCTCTGCCTACCCCTTCGGGGATAAAAGGCGTGATGTTATGTTATACCGCTCATTAAAGTTACCCCGACTTTTGAGGATCATAAGCACAACCGTTGTATTGCACTTCTTACTCTTTTGTGATGTAAAGTGACCTATGTTTCTAAGGGTGTGTCCACATCTGGCAAATGCTTCGTGAATGAACACATCGCAGCATCGACCTGCGCTCTTGCATTTAAAACTATTATTTATAGGCCTTGCATAATAGCCCTAAAGAGGTCCGCCAAACCATTGCCAAAACTGCACGCGCGCAGCACGCAAACGGCTTGCGACCTGCACATTCACGTAACATTCGTCAAATGTGGACGCGCTCTAAGGTAAATCTATGGGTAAAGAGGTAAGGTTATCATAGACAGGCGGAACCAAACTCTCTACTTACCTACTACTCGTATGACTAACAATTACGTAAATCGGAAATCTGTATAGCATTCGTTTTACCCATACATGCGATCTTAGATCACGAACTAGTAATTCTCCCAACGATCAGTCAATCAAGGAAACAGACAACACAACATAATATTCATCATCATCATCATCATCAATAGCCTATAAGTCCCCACTGCTGAGCAAAGCCTCTTCTCACACGGAGAAGGTTTGAGCATTAATCAGCACGCTTGCTCATTGCGGATTGACGATATCAAACTAATAATTAAAAATTATAAGCCCAGGTTTCCTCACGATGTTTTCCTTCACCGTTTGTCACTGATGTCTAAATAATCTTAGAAAGTACATATAACTCGGAAAAAGCCACATTGGTACTTGCCGTTGGTAGGTTTCGAACCCGCACCTTCATGCATGAGAAGCGGGCGTCTTAGCCTCCGGGCCGCCACGACACATACTAATAACATAATATTAAATACGATTAACTTACCTGCTGGGCGGCACCTTCTTCTTTTCACTAGAAACATGATTGTAAGGTTTCATAGATTTAGGCATCTTCCGATCCATACTCGACATACTATCCCGATCTTTCAAACTGCTGTCAAAATGCAATACATTTTGATGATGATGATTTATTACAGGCATACTGTAATCCGGTCTGGGCAAATGTCTATCAATTTTTGGTAAAACTCGATCACTTTTAGACATCTCACCTCGTAAAGGTTTCTTAATCTCATCTTTTTTAAAGTCTAAACTTGTTGTGCTCTGAGTTATAATGATCTTAGGCAATTGTTTTGATAGTTTTCGAAGCCTTTCCGACCGTGGTTCTGAGATCACGGAGTTCAGACTCTCCATAGATTTTTCATTCTCTAGTTTAAAGACTGTTTTTGCTTCCACGATTTCGTTATGTTCGTCCTCTTCTTGACGGTCTTCTTTTTGGTCTCTTATAGTCTCATAGTCCGGGTCTTCTATTGAAGCTCTATGTTGTTCTACAAAATGTTTGTTTTCTTTCAAATAGTTCAAACATTCGTCGTAAAGTTGATTTATTTGTTCGTATTCGGAATTTCTTTTCGATTCCACTTCCATGTTTATTTAATTTGAAAACTTTGTCTTAAAATTAATATTTTAATATTGTAGAAATTATTTTATCAATACGTCACAAAAATCCATTCACAACATCAATAAAATAATAACCGTAATAATAATCCCACATTTTAATAATTCACACACGAAATAACCAAACTCATTTAAAAATAAACTCACTCACACTCAAAATGAAATGAAATAATAAGGAATGTACACTTTCACGTAATTTTTTGTGCGAAACTATGTGATTTGGTAAGACGATGTCCTGTGCGCGTTATCTCGTCTGTTATCGCGTTATCTTGTGTTAATTGTGATGCGCGCTCTAAGCACAAGATCCGGAGTGACCTTGCTCAGAGCACGGAGGGCCATTCTGCAATGACATCTTCTTATTTCATTACTTGTATATTTGTTGTTGTCTCTATGTATTTATGTTTGTATCTGCTGTTAGATTAATATTCATAGTCATATTTATATTTAAAGTAAGTTGGGTCTGGTTTTAGTTTTTCGACAAATCAATAGTGTACAATAGTCTAGGAGACTGACTAACAAGAAGAATATTTTTATCTATTAATATTAATTAATTTTTCGACGGTTAAATGATAAGACTTTGACTTTAAATTCATGTATCTGTTTAGGATTTTTATCAGCTAATCTAATTGTTCATCTCATTACCATAATCATCATCATAAAAGATTCACCACTGAACATAGGCACTGAATATAGAATCAGCTCCGGAACAGACAGATGGCAGTGACCTGCATCTAGCAGCTCGCTTCTACCTGTGTCAGCTCATATATTTACCTCGTTAGTGCAGGTCGTGTGCGTTATAGGCTTTCATCTAGTTAGAGAATCTCAAATTATATATTGGTAAGAACACAGAATTGATACAACGGAGCCTGCCGTATTTTTCCTCACCAGATGGTACTAGTATGAACCTCTCGTTCTTCTTCTAATAAGGAATTAGCTACTATCACCCCAATGGACGTACTATATTAGATAACAGCTGCGATTGGACTAAAAGTGTCTTCCTTCATTTGCGCCACCTAGTGAATAAAAAGTACTTACGATAGCCCCCATTGATTTTTACATAGTGTCAATCACCTAGGGTAAAAAGATTCCGTTTACCAACTACACTTATTTGCACGGAAATACATTAAATAAAATATTCAAAATATAATAATAACTGAGCAGCACTGCTTACTCATTCTGTGACTCCCAATTATCACCCAACTCACATGACAATCTATTTAACAAAATTAGCACTTAAAATAATTCAGACAAGATACAATTTGGCAATGAGTCTATCGTATTAACACTAGGCTATTGTGATGTGATGTTCTAGCAATTGAGTGTTTATGTTCGAGGTCCTAGCGTTCGATTTATGGCTAGTAATATTTTTTTTAGAAAGCCAGTAATAATGTTGACCGAAAGTTGACCTGGAGATTTCACTCATTTTGTGCTTAATGCCACCTCATTAGGTCTACCTTACTTAAAATTTGCACCAAGTATTTCTATTCCCAGGTAGGATTAAGTATTTTTTTAGTCGTTATGAAAAACTTTCAATAAATATAGCACAGTGTCTATTAAACGCTGCTCCACATTAGGATTTTTTTAAGTAAGTAATAGGAGGCAACCGGGCAGACGGATCACCTGATGGTAAGCGATCAACGCCGCCAATGGACACCCAGAACCCAAAACACCAGAGGAGTCACTGGTACGTAGCCGGCCTTTTAAAAAGGAATACGCTCTTTTCTTGAAGTTTTAAAGGTTGGTTCGGAAATACCGTGAACGACAAATCATTCTACAGTTTTACTGAGCGAGGCAGAAAGCTACGTTAATTTAGTTGCATGAGACTTCTGTGTCATAGGTTTTTATACAAACAGATAAATTCGCATCCACTTCATTTAAAAATGTGATGTCCTGATGACTGTGCTTGCTGTATTTTTGCTGTATATTTCCAACGCCAATATCAATGTGTTACAGAATAGCCCAACACGGCAACAATACAAGAAGCGGTTAAATTCAGAGTGCGACGTACATACACGTAACAATACATACATACAGACATATGTACAAACAAATGTATTTATCATCAGTTACCTGTTTAACATAATAATTATTGTGTTTGTTGTATTTTGTCACAGTATTATGTGGTGTTACAAATAATTCAGAGATTAATTTTGATAACATAACATCACAGTTTTTTTTTTGTTTTGCAAGTAGCCGATGCGCATTTTCTCATTTGTCCTGTAGATAGATAGTGCGTAAGCATTTGGTTATTGATTTATTGTAGCTTTCAAATGCCAATTTTGACAGTATTTAAATGTTTTTTCTTTCTTTCACCTGTGTCGTGGGTGCGATTACAAACATACAAGTTCACATAGAGGTACATATGTGAATATTACTATATTCAGATTATTATATTCAGAATATTTTATACCTACATCACACAAAGGGAAGATCATACAAAGAGTTGGTTGGTGCGGGAATTGTTGCCCATCCACCGCGCCAACCGTGCAGTCAGTTGCAGGCAAGTCGTTAGATTCATGCAGAAATTGCACCTCATTTTTTTTTCCTTAACACGCCTTTATTAGATCGACCTGTTTTGTAAATATCAGAATTACAGACACTCCTAATTATTGTATTATGATGAAGCTTGGCAACTATTAATGGCCGTACGATATTATGGTAACATCAAGCTGGTCTAACGATGAAATTAGAAGGACCAATGTTAATATTTTAATGAAAGGTCCATCAATATGGACCCTTCATTAAAAAATTAAGTCTTACTTATGAATATTGAACGCAAGAAATAAAATACATAATATATATAGGCATTAAATTTATTACTGCCTCATTTTGACATTCAGTTTACATACATGGTGTTCATTTTCAAATTCACTCACAAACATGTGTTAAATCATTTCAAATGAAATAATAATTTATCATTTTAAAATGAAAAAAAATGTTAACGTTACCTGTGAAAAATTTAATAGATTTTCACTCAAGTAAAATGTGTTTTTGTGTAATTTGATTTATTAATTATTGTTTGAACTTTAGCTTTTTAATTTTATTTTTTAATACGATAATAATATACTATTTGTTTACCCAATTGTTGAAAAACTACACGTAGTTTTATATGCAATTAGTAAGATGAACAACATATTTTTGTTCAATGAAAATTTATTCTTTAAAAATAGGCATGTAATAATAGTCTTGAAACTGAAAGTACTTATTTTTCATTACTACCAATTGGTAGTAATGAAAAATAAGTACTTTCAACTTAAGTTCAATTGAACTGCAATGTAAGTGTTTAATTCGCTAAATTAGATATATTATAGTCAAACTAATATACAGTATAATAGTTAAGTATTGGTAACATATATAAATAATATCTGAATGAAGTCAACTTGAAATAGATCTAAGTACATCCTAACAACATTAATTTATTTATATATATATTTAAGTAATGAACGTTTTGAACACAAACTTTTTATAATAAGTACTAATATATTTTATTTTCTAAGTACTTAGAAAGAAGAATGATAAAAGTTCTATATTTTAATATATTATATATATAATGTAAAACAAGTTATATATTAGACAATAGATTTTTTCTAATAATTTAGTTTAGTATTAATACCACATTTATATATCCATTAAAATTATTTTATATACATTTTATACCTCATCATTGTAACCATATTTAAAACCTTATGATAATATACATAAGTATATTTTTTGTAAGTCATGTAAAATGTTTGTTGAAACAACAGAGGTATTATATATTTTATAATGATTGGCTTAAAAATTGACATTAAATTATTTATTTTGGCAATATTTTTTGTGAGTGAAAACATAATAGTTATTAGTTAGTTTTAAAATGCAATAGCAGTTCTAATTTGTAATTTTATCATGTTTTTCTTACACACTTATTGTTTTATATGTAATGATGATGACCAAAATTATAATGTAACACCCACATTTCACTATTTATGTTATCAGTCCCATGTAATAGAGAGTGAGCCTATTGCCATATACCGGGCACAATTCCAAACTCCGTGCTACTACTGAGATTTTTTTTAAACCCAGTAATACATTGCCCGACCCGGGAATCGAACCCGAGACACCTTGCCCGGCAGTCGCACTTGCGACCACTCGGCCAACGAGGCAGTTCTTTATTATTGAATTAGTTTTAATTTTTGGTCATTACAATTTAGATATCATACATACTTTTATATTATTTATGTAGCAGTTTGTGGACATTTGATATACTTAGAATTTATATTTATATATTAGATATATGTACTATCTATTTTTATGCCTAAGGAACTATATTTTACTTCAGGTAATAAGGTGACCACAGGTTTCTAAATATTATACTTATTTTTATTATATTATAGTTTATATGAGTGTTAAATATTAGACATAATTATTACCTATATTATTTTATTAATATATTTCTATTATAATGGAAGGAGGCATTGAATTAAAATGTTTGTATGGAATTGAATATATAATATGTAAAAAATAATGTTAGACATTAAATAAATATGTGATCATAACTCATTATTTAATTTTAATTAGTATTAATTATTAATACAACTTTGCAGCTAATATGTTTTGTCTCTTTTTGGCTTTAAGACTGCATAATTTGCTTTCTCTCTTTGACCTGAACACATTGCTTTCATTAAACAGTAATTTTGCAAACATCATAATACATACTTATATTTTTTCTGTAAAATAAGAGTTAGCTTAGATTGTGGCGTAATTATTAATAAAAGTTCTTTAAAATGTTTATATTTACATTAAGAGATAGATGGAGATAGCCATTAAGGGTCGCCATTTTCGAAATCGGTAAGGAGGACTATATTGTATATATATATATATATCTTTCTTACAATATTATATAGCGGGCAAGCCTAAAATATATTTGGAATAAATTATTACTTAGGACATAACAATATTCTTACTGCATTAATCACTGACCCTTCATCAATTATTAAATATCTTAATTTGCAGCATTTGGCGATTTTTTGGCAAGAATTAAATTTGTAAATATATTTATTATTTGTAATCGTATATTTTTCGTTATACAATTTGGATAAAATGTCTCAAACTCAATAAAAGTGTGAATATAGGAAATATGAAATAGTCTATATCTTAGAAATGGCATGTCACAACCCTATTATAAACTCTGAGAACACAACCCTAGGGAACTAAAACCATGATGTTTTGTGTATAAATATCAATTAGGTATATTTTTTAACATATTATAGCCATAATTTTAATATATTCTAAGAAAAATAATATAAAATTCGAAATATAAATAAAAAACACAAATTAAAAAATAACCATTTATTTATTGGTGAAATAAAATTGCAAACAAAAAATATAAAATGAAATAATTTACAACAGAGGTTAAAGATTTTTTTGTTATAAAAATAATAAAATCACAACGTTTATATCATGTACTTTACAATATCTACAATATGTTTATATATCTATTAAGTATACAACGGTATAATATCTGCATATAACATATAATTTGTGAATATTATTATTTCACTATAACAAGTAAGTTCATTTAAAATGACGTAATTATAAATGAAAATAAACTCAACAATTAATCATTTTTGTTCGTTATTTCTTTTTATATTCTGGTAAATGCATTTATTTTGTTTTCATTTTTATGTAATTTATATTTGCCATGCAAAACTATTTTTCTTTTATTAATTAAATGACAATATTCACAAATTATTTGACTTCATTTAAAATCACAAAAAATCAACAATTAAAACTTACTGTATAATATCTACCTACTACGTTATTTTTAATTCAAACTATTCTGCATATGAATTAAAATTAGAAATATTAGCAAACACTATTTACGTTAATCAAATTTGAATCTTGTAACGTTTTGTATAAGATACATTATTGTAGCTGCACTGACTAGCCAAATCTCGCAAATATAATTTTGCTTTTAATGCCATTCTTATGTCTACGAAATAGAATTCAAATTTGATTGCACCAACTGTAGATAATGCTTGTTAAATTTCTCATTTTATTTCAATTTGAGACTAACATGTATAGTATCGGTATCGATGAATTGATCGATAAATTTCACGAGTAACTTTAAAACGATATGTTGCCTTTATGTTCAAATAAAGGGTTTTCGATTAATTCAATCAAATTATCGATACTGATATATTTTTGGAATCCTTACGTACTGTTTACGCGTCATAGTAATCTCGCGGACTGATGACGCCTTTCCTGTAAAAGAAAACATGAAATTAAGGAAAAGATAAGAAATAAATATTTGGCGTAATTATGTTAAGTAGTTATAATAGGAGTAATATCTGTTTAAATTAATTTCCGAGGCATGTACTTATTGATTACCAATCATTATCATTGCCATTATTGATATCTTTGATAACAATGTGGAAATAAGGAAGTACGTGTTTTTCAACGAATATTATTACGTACCGCATTCTAAGATACCAAATACTTAAAGGTATTATTAAAAAAACACATTTTTTTCATAAAAACCAATATTGATTAAAATAAATAGATAATATCTATCGATATATTTATAATATATATCGCTTATAACTATGTACCTGTATATGTACATTATGGATGCACTAAATACTTGATTACTTGATAAGTATGGCCTATGGGCCTCTTGCGTGCTTTGAAGTTATTTGAGGTCTTTTTTTTTTTTTTTAAGGGGGGAAAATCATCGAATGACTGCTCCCGCCTGGGTGAGGCGGAGGGGAGTGTCAGACTCTTACTGACTAAAAACCACCCCGTTCCTTCTCCTGCACGTCGAGCCGGAGCCCCGGTTACCCGTTAGGTTCTCAGCGACTCCAAATCGGCATCGGCCCTATTGGGCCCCATCTGTGGTGGTCTGATGGCTCTTTGAGGGTCTGTTTCTGGTCGGACGGGGAGCCACCCATGCTCGCCGTCCGCAGTCCCGCGCTTACGGTGGCCGGAGATCGTCCCGCGATCCCCGACGCCCGGTGTGTCCTTCGCGATGGCTGGGTTGCGAGGAGGCAGCGCTTCGCTGCCTCACGCGTCCCGCCTCCTCCTTAGCTAGCATGACTGCTTCGCAAAAGGAGGAGACGGCATCCCAGTCCCCCTCGCTCCGCATCATGGCCTGCACTAGGCCCGGACGCGAGAGGTCGCCATCGCCGATCACTTCCCTGAGGGCACGGCGGTGCTCAGCCCACGCAGGGCATTCCGCTACGGTGTGTTCCATCGTGTCCTCAGGGCGGTCCTCGCAGTGATGACACCCGGGCGTTTCCTCCCGCCCCATCAGACACAGGTACCTCCCGAAACTTCCATGTCCGGTGAGGACCTGCGTCAGGCGGTAGGTGAGGACGCCGTAGCGTCTCTCAAGCCACTCCTCAAAGAGGGGTCTTACCGCTGCAATGGCAGCGAGCCCAGCCCTCGGTTGCGACAGTCGTTGCTGCCATAAGTTATTTGAGGTCTACGAGTAGTAACTACTACTACGTCAGTAAGCAGGACTGAATAACTTAAATAGTATAATACAATTTTTTGTTATATAAAGTCATACTAATAGGTTAAGTTATGTATAAAACAAAACTAAATTGAATTTTTGCCGTCACCACCACCATTAAACAAGCAACAAACAATGTGTTATCATTATTAAAAATTAAATAACTTGTGTGGTGTTTCATCGTGTGAGGTTACCGGAGGCATAATATAACCCCTTTTTGTGGAGATTCCCAATTCCCAAAAGGCTGGTAACGTACTCCTAACGTCTTTGGTGTTCCAGGTGTCCATGGACGACGTCGATTGCTTACCATCAGGTGAACCGTCCACTTGTTTACCGACTTATTAAAAAAAAATAGGTATACACAACTTAAAAAAATAAATTATGCTAAAAATGTTATGCTACTAATTATATTTCATTTTAAATGAATTAATTCATAAATAAAATGAAATGAAAGTGTTAGTAATATCGTACCAGAGTGCACTACCGCTAGGGATGTGCCGGCTACACGTTTGTAGTGTACCTGTAAAGTTAGTGGTTAGTAACAGCACTAGGAGATACATTAGATGGTTAGTTGAAGAAGAATTTGTTGAATTAATGTGTCTTGAAGTTGTTGGTGTTATGGTTCGGGTATATTTTTATCGATTTTCTATTTTTTTTTAATTTATTGTTTAATTTGCAAACTGAACAATTTTGTGCGTAATAATTATATAAGTGTCAACAAAGTTTACAGTTTCTCCATATTTTGCTTTCACTTGGCATGCAAAAATATGTTACAAAAAATCTTACTCAAGAATATTAGGATTATTGAATTGTAATGTCGTTAGAATACAATACTGTTGTCAAATAAATTCGAATTATTTTTATCACTAAACTCAAAAATTTAATGTCAATTTAGATATATAATTTAAAAAGGTCACTTATAAATGTATCTAACACTCACACAAGCAATGTCAAATAAATTTTACTATGCGACTTAATTTTGCTGCAGAATTTATTTGCAGGAAAATCTACGCAGTATTGTAACTGTAGTTCAACAAAATACTTCGTTTTCATAATATTAAATAGAACAATTTTCATGACACATTAATTCATGAAATTATGAAAGTCATAAGTACAAATAGAACACAAGCGATTTTAACCTCTATTCTATTACAATAGGTACCTGTCTCGTGGTGTGATGACGTCCTCATCCGAGTCGAAGTCGTAGAGCTCGTCTCGGATGTAACTCTTGTTGGCAAAACCTCCCATGTCCACTAAAATTGAGGAAATGTACTCGTAAATATTAAAAAACTTCATTTGATTTTAGTCTGACTTGAAGGATCACATTATTAAATTTTGAAATCTACATACATACATACATACATAACATCACGCCTTTTATCCCCGAAGGGGTAGGCAGAAGTGCACATTATGCCACTGTACAATGTAACACCCACTTTTCACAATTTATGTTATGAATCCCATGTAATAGGAGGTGAGCCTATTGCCATATACCGGGCACAATTCCAGACTCCGTGCTACTACTGAGAATTTTAAAAAAAATTCCCAGTTGTACTTTGCCCGACCCGGGAGTCCAAATTTGAAATCCTTCAGTACAAAATACATATTATAGAGGTACATATTAGGTAAGTATCCTTTCGATAGACTATAAGTCTATCTAGTCTATAAGACGACGATACGACGATAGGAAGACGATAGACAATAGTTGCACAATATAAATAGGGCTATGCTGTTCCAAGTAAAGAGGTCAGTAAGGTCTTTATCATACACCAGGCAAAAATTTGAATTCAAAACTGAAAGCTGAGAAAATATGTATTTAAATAAGATCTTTTTCGTAATTATGAGTTTAGTGTCAAGGGCAAGGGTCACGTCAGTCATTGGAACCTGACCTTAATAAAGGGGGCTTAAAATCTACAACTGTATAATCATCGATGAAAATTTGAATGACTTTGGAGATAGGTTTACCTCGTGTAGAGTCGTCGTACTTGTCATCGGCCCATTTGTAGTCATTCTCGGAGTAGAGCGGCGGGAGCGTCTGGTGCGGCGTGGGGTACAGGTCCAGGTTGCGCTTCTCGTTCTGTATGCTGTCTGTGTCACCGTATACTTTCATCCTGGAATTTAATGAGGAGATGGTTAGAACTATGGCAAATACTCCCGTGGATATGCGAGTAAAAAGATCCTAAAGGTATCATATATATAGAGGTATAAAAGACATTCGAAGCTTAAACACTTCGGTTCCATTAGCGTTGATGCGCCAAAATTGCTAAAGATGAAATTCACAAAAGCAATGCATTATCGACTCGTCATTATTCACCGTGTAATCTCTTTGTTTTAAATTAACGTGCATACGGCGGGCACTCGCTTTTGTTCTTGTAATTATTGCGGTCTTTTTATTAATTACCTTACTCGGACAAATCAAGAAAACCGTAAAATCTAACATAAATCAAATCCTGTTAAAGTTTTTGAAAAGTCAACAGATTCTTGGTCACGAGTCAAGTCGTCGACATACAACGACCTCACAGCCCGTAAACTTAAGAGGGATTTGCTATGTATAACCTCTATGCTAGGCTACCAGGTTGAAAATCACCGTTTCAAGGGTCCAGTGCTGCCTGGTTTCTATTAATTTTACTGTGGAGGGCCTAGTCTTTGTGGAACTCCATTTGTCAGGTGCGCTGTGTTCCGTCGTCGCGGCAGCTTTCATGACATGCCCCATTAGCGTATTGCATCGTCGCGCGCCACGTTTTAACGAATCAAAGGACAAGAGACGAATCGAGAGGGAGAGTAATCCGCTAATCACGTTAGTATCTGAGACGCGGCTGCGACGTCGGGCGTCAGGCAACCCTGGTGGGGCGTATAATGCGTTGCGACGATGACGTAAGACAGCGCAATGGAGAAGTGGGGCCTTGATCTTGCCAGCTCTTGCAAGACACATGGTTTGAGTAGTGGTGGTTATAAATGACCATTCAACCATCATCGCAACGCGTGAGCCCGTCTCGTGGCGAGGCTCCATCTTGTCTATCAGTTTGAGCTATCCAAGATTTGACGTACCTGGTGTAATCCTCGAAGCAGCTGAACCTCCATAGAGCGAAGGCGAGCATGGCCATGGAGATGATAACTCCGGCAGCGATCACCAGCCACACCATCAACACCGTCTGGTCGTCGGGGATCGCGTACTCCTGGAATATTAATCAGCATGATGTAAGGTATGGAATAAAGGGAATATTGATAGTGGTTTCTAACCTCCAGACCAAAGGGTAGCTGTATTTAAAAAGACTCCAATAAAACTTTACTAAAAATTCGAGACAGAGACAAAAGTCAGTATTAGCACATCCATTCAACCTCAGAGAGTCTCGCAATGGACGACTAAACATATAACACAACACTAACGTACCGTGATACCGAAAGAGCGCAGTCTGTCAGCGAAATCATCCTTAATGATGTAGGTAGTCCACATGTCATCCAGTTCCTTCGTGGACAGCCTCGGCTCCGACTCCTCATCCTCTCCATCATACTGCAGGGGTACTCCGAAGATCACCTCCACACAGTTCTCATAGTCTGGCCATTGGATGTTGCAGATTGCTGTCCTGGTGATCTGCGTTACTTCGTACCTGGAATCGGATAAATCGGTCGGTTGAGTTTTAGGGATCGATGAAGAAATCGGCTAAGTTGAAGAATAGGTATCGATTCCTATGTCAACTGGATTATTTATCAACTATGTACCGTGGTTAAAGTAATATATATACTGCATTCTTCAATTCATTTTATTGGTCTGCACTCTGTAGCCATTTTAATTAAACTAAATAACTAAATAAATAGTGCACTAGTTTCTGTAATTCAATTAGAATGATCTTAGGGCACTCAACACACATCTAAACTCGAGGGTGATCTCATGAAAATGATTGGAGATAGATCAGATCTAGACCATCGAAGGCTTTTTCATTGAGGTAACGAGACGAAATTACTTTTCTTTAAATGAGTTAAAAATGGAAGATTTCGGTATGAACTGTCTGTATGTATGTATGTCTACGATTATTGTCGAATTGGCTGAAATGATTTTGATGCGGTTTTCAAAAAAGTACATGTATTGTATATGTACATGTATGTATGTATTTATATCGTCGTGTGTCGAAGACTTTCTCAGTAAATTTTGTCCCGGAATAAAAGTTAGTGTTCCATAAACACCACGTTAAAAACCGTGTGATGTCATAATCAGAAACAAATAACCGATTTTATATCTTTAAAAATAACGTAACATAAACAGAACAAGTTATAAATTATAAATAACTACGTCATATGTGTAATGAATATGACGTAGCACATAAATAAATAAACGATAAACCGTGTTCAGTGCTCAGCATTGGAGATCTTATAATAGATCAGTGTCAGTGGTTATTATCTCCTGACTGACTGACCGAAGGTCATGCCATCATTCATATTTTCATTACAATTTTAATATATTTTTTTGAAAATTAAACATTAGTAGCTTGTGCCAGCGAATTCGTTTGCATAAATTGGTGATTCCCGTTTTTCGCGTCGCTGTGCGAATTTAGGGAACTGTCTTCAGTAGTTTCGACCGTGCATTGTCTGACAGTCAGTCAGTGAAGGCAGAATTTTATATATTGATAGAATAATTTCTTAAATTGCCTGGCCTAGGTACTTCATGCAACTTGAATGTACGTGCACGACAGGACAAGCACTCTCACAGAGTACCATAATCCTATACTTATTATATTATTACACTTTGGTTATGGTTTTTTGTTTAAAAAAAAACAAAAAACCATGCATAGATTTCCTAGATGGGGCTCTATGGGACTTGTTTCTGACAGAAGAGAATATGTACACTATGAATTAGAAGTTTAAGCATTTAATAAAATTATTGAACATGCAGATTGAGGCGTTGACCTTATCTTCAAAAACTGATTAGTTAGTCATTAGTCAAACAAAAGAATTGAAATTAAGTTCGGTGATAAAACAAATTTGACAGCCCTTAATATATCACCGTCGCATGTCGTTAACAAAAGAACGATGCAGCCCTATTGTTTTAATGTTAACCCCTCGAGCGTCTTTATGAGCACCCGGTGGATCATAAGAAAAAATGCTCCATATTGCTCTTTTATAAAATCTATTATTAATGTTTTGTTTTTATTTTGGCTGTATTTTTTATTTCTATTGTAATGATCCTTGTTTTCGTGTGCCAATGGCCAAATAAATGCATTTTCTTTCTTTCTTTTTCCAAATGTAACGTGTGCACCCGTTGGATCATAAGGAACGTGGACGCTCGGGTTAATGACTTTTCAGGTTTCATACATAAAGTTCTTATGGGTAGATTTTGAAATTCTGACTTTGGATGGGGCAAATATGCAGATGGATCACCTGATGGTAAGCAATCGACACCCGTACCTTACAGTAATTAGTTACAAGTGCGTTTTGAGGACTATGAGATTGTGTCATTGTAAAAGAAGGGGGAGGGGGACAAGTCCGTCAATCTGTATGTCTGTTTAACGTCAGGCACAAAATGATGGCTGTCAACATCGTTGCAAGCGATAAACAATCTTGGTCTATGACGCACAAGGTATAATTAGCAATAACTCTTGATTAGAAGTATATTATATATATAGTTAGTAACAATGGACTGCCTAGTTGACCGACTAGTCGCCAGTGCGAATCTAGGCAAGGAGGCTCGGGTTCGGTTCTCGGGTCGGGTAAAATATTACACATAACATAACATAACATCACGCCTTTTATCCCCGAAGGGGTAGACAGAGGTGCACATTATGCCACTGTACAATGTAACACCCACTTTTCACTATTTATGTTATGAGTCCCATGTAATAGGGGGTAAGCCTATTGCCATATACCGGGTACAATTCCAGACTCCTTGCTACTAAGGAGATTTTTTTTTTAAATCCGAGTAATACTTTGCCCGACCCGGGTATCGAACCCGAGACCCCATGACCGGCAGTCGCACTTGCGACCACTCGGCCAACGAAGCGGTAAAATATTACTGAGTTTTAAATAAAAATTCTCAGTAGTAGCACGAAGTCTAGAATCGTGCCCGGTATATGGCAATAGGCTCACCTCCTATTACATCACTCATAATATAAATAGTGAAAAGTGGGTGTTACATTGTACAGTGGCATTAAGTGCCATAATGTGCACTTCTGCCTACCCCTTCGGGGATAAAAGGTATGATGTTATGTTATGTAATTTAGTAACAATAGCTCCCATCCTCTTTGCATACAAGCATAATTATAACGTCGTATAAATAAAAGACATTATCATAACTTCACTTGAACTCGTCTTTCACTATTTCTATTGTATATCGCGACATGTTTATCAATAAGCGGTTATCATTCGGCAGCGAGTTATCAATTCAATGACATGCATACACAATTACTTTACAACACTATTTTCCACAGTTGGTACTATCACCTCTAGATCTTTCTACGGGGAGATTATGGCAAATGCCTTTGTTTCGAAATCTTGACAGGTGAAATGTTTTACAAGAGGTGGTATCTCCAACTCTTGTAATATCTTGTGTTTTTAGTAAATAGGTATCTAATGTAGATATATATAACTTTGACGATCGAGTTATCGCATCGCAAATAGCATTCCTGAGGTTTCAAATTATATCCCGTAGGCCAGGTAAAGTATAATTAAGTAGGTACATTTTCTTTTTGTTTTCGGAAAGCCATAGAATCTGAAACGAATTCTACTGCAACGCAATAAGGTCTTAATTAGCTTGTCTTACATTCATGTATTAGGTCACATCATACTTATATTTGAAATGTGAAAGTTGCTTTATTTGGATGTTTGTGCGTCAATCACGCTGAAACTACTGAACGGATTTTGGCGATATTTGGTATACAAGCAAGGTATGGGCTGCCTTAGGTGATACTATTTATCCCAATAAAATGCTCTATTGGATAAAACAAGAATCATAACCTACGCGGATGAAGTCGCGAGCAACAGCTAGTAAGTCATAATTCTTCTTTAAAATTACATTGTATTTATAAATATTATTTTCATACTATATTCGGTAATAAAAAAGTTTACAGCCCTCCTAATGGCAAGCAGACATCATAGCCTGGGTACACTTGCAAATGAGGGTCCACCGGGGTGGTTTTAGAGGTAAAAATCCCATAGTCTTTCTACCCAAAAAACACCAAAGGCATCACAAATGCGTAACGGTAGCGTTAGGAAACTATTGAATTTATTATAAACCTTCATTCGCATTTTGATAAAAAGATATTATTATGAAAGGAAAATTGACATTTCTTTGAAATCTTGACGATAATTTGACATTTTATTATATTATATTTATATTAAATTATTATTATTAGACTTAATATGGCATAGATACTAATTAATTTTTGCTGTTAATTTGTTTTGTTTTAATCAGAGATATGATAATTATATGAAAAATGTAACTTGTTAAATTCTCATTTTAATGTGTGTATGGTGTGGATTACTGTTGTTATTTTCTTTTCCATAATTCTCAGATTGGATTTTATTTTCAAGCCACTGTTAAGCCTATGAATTGCCAATGCTATGTACGCCATTATTGTCGCATGCATCAGACCTTTATTTTGTTACTATTGTGTATTTTGAATGTTATATGTTTGTGATGTGGCCGTACTCCTTCGAATAAATAAATAAATAAAGGAAAAATGAAAGACGCCTCTGTATTCCAGCAAGAGCAGCAATAATACCCGCAATGCGTAGTCACGTGGATCCCGTCACGTTCACGTATCGTGGTCGTGACCCGAAGATATTGCGGATTCTAATATTTTATCATTGACATTAGATACTGGTGAAATTTATCCGTGCCTACGATTTATGATCACTCTAGTCTCTGATTATACTAAATCTTTTTTCTAGATGGTAATGCTAATCGTCGTTGTAGTGATGAAAATAGAAATCTTTGCTTAATCCATATGTTTGACTATGAAATAGGTTTCTTCGTGCCTCATTGAAAGATATCAAAAATTGCTCATATAAATAATACTCAAAGTAGTATTAATTAGAGTTAATCAAACTAATTATACGTCTGGAAGTAATTTCAAAAAAGAAAGTAGATAATATTATAAAAGAAGAAGAACATACTATAAGAGAAGATATAAAAATAGACAATGCAAAGGCATTAAGATAGTAAATTATACTGAGATATCTTGCAGTGGTATCATCAATGCATGCTACTAAAAATATCAACAACATACTTATAGAATTAAAAACAATAAAACAGAATATAATAAAGCCATAAAAGAGTAGCAGTAAAACGACGAAATATTATTATATTATAATAACGACAAATTATTTCACTGTGGACAAAGTAAAACTGTTATTGTTTAAGCGATATTAAATATAACAGATAAGGAATATCGTGCCTTTGCTAATTGTATCGGAGATGATAAGAAACATAAAATGGCTGATAATGAAAATAACAAAACAGGTAAATTGCTTTTTGTAATTATTGATTTTGGATAAATACTACTACCTACGTATGACTATGAATGAAGCTAGTGGTTCAGTTGAAGATGGAAACAATGTAGAAAATATTTAATTATGTGTGTATTATCTTTTAACCTAATTCATGTTTTAAAGAAATAAATCAACAACGATGAAATGTGTAAGGCACTCTATAAGTATAGTGATCATGAAAAAGAAAGGCGTGCAACAAAATTAAATACATTCCAATACATAATTGCAAATATTGTGCTGTTCAAACTCACCATTATCGTAGTCTTCTATATCCTTATTCTTTTATATATAACGTATAATCTTATCTATAAATCTAACATTAATACTAAGTGAGACGGATTCCAACTATTGGTATGAGGACTTTACACTTATCACATATAAATTGTCTCTCTGACATTTTGTTCATAACATTTGGGCCAGTCTTTACATCATTCGCGATATGTCAATTTAGGCTTCAAGTATCGATGCCACATTCTACACAGTCGAAAATGTACAGAGAAAAAGGTTGTCTCCCAATCTCATACAAGTTTTTCTTCTGTAAACTTTACCGGCTGGTTCACTACTTCGATAGCATTGTCGGTCGTGATGTCGACCCTTGCTGTCTCATTGTTGTTGTAGTTATCTTTCTTCTTGTCTACCACTACTTCTTCTAAAGTCGATGCATTGTTATTATCTGGCTTAATCTCTTCCAGATTCAGGTCAGACTTTTTCTTAGCTTCCTTACTACAGTGTAAATTTCTTTCATTGTTAGACACTTGAGGATAATGATGCAATATCGCAGTTGTGTTAAAAGTAATTTTACCATACTTGACTATCTCTTGAGGTCGTTTTGCTTGACTAGTACTAGGTACAGCTAAATCTATATCCCTGTCTATGTCAATATCAGGTGAGTTCGCGGTGGTATAATCCCTCGTCTCGTCTATAAGTCCTAAAGCTATACGTTTACTTTTCTTAATATTTTCCATATAACTATTGTGAAGGTTCATATCTATAGTGTTATTATGTTTAAGTGGCAAAGAATTTGGCAGCCGGTGTTGTCTGTCCTCGGCTGTGTATCACAATTGTTTCTGGTTGTGCTGCTTGACTATCTGGTCGGTAGCCGCGGCGATGTCGCGCGCGGCGTTTGTTAGCTATGTCTGAGACTGCACCATTGAAATGCTGGTTGTCTCCGTAACAATAGTAGGCGCGGGGAACTCCTCAGTGGTCGAGTCGTAGATGGGGAACTCGCAACACAAGACAAATTTCAAAAATCGTGGCACTTCCACATAAATGGCTGGTGGAATCGGTATCAGGGGCGAAGTCGACGCTTTGTAATACAAATAATCTGGGTTATCTCTGTACTTTTCGTCAGCCGATCGTTCGAGGAGCGGTATACCAGATAAGAACAATATGATCGCCGTCGTAAATAATGGAGATAGGATTGCGATCCATTCGATGCCATTAATTACGTTTAGTGATATGACAAATATTCCCCACCACAGCACTACTTCGCCGAAGTAGTTCGGATGTCTCGACAGTCCCCAGAGCCCATCATTGCACCACTTGCCTTGGTTGGCTGGCTCCTGTCTGAATGCAAACTTCTGTAGATCTGCGTACGTTTCAATCAACAATCCGGTGACAAATATTCCGGCGCCAGCTGAGTCCAGTGTCGTCATTGTCTTTGGAGACTTGGGGAAGGAATGATGTGGCGAGTTCATTATAATTACTGGCAAACTAACTATGTATACCCAGACTGCCTGAAACGTATAGAACACTGCGAACCTCAGAGTATTACTTTTACGATCCTCGAATTGCTTATCTCTACCTATATGATAGATTCTGTAAATGAGGTAGCCAGAGAGCCTGACTCCCCAGAGGCACACGAAGGCAGTCACCATGAGCTGGCGGCTGTCGTAACTCTTGAGGTGGGAGCCTCCTTGCCCGAGGAAGAAAGTCAGCAAGGCTATAATAATAAAGTTAGCCCCGCCAGTGAAGTCAGTCACTTTATCGTTCTGGAATAACGAGGCTATGGTGAAGAACAGGATCTGCATCGCGACCGTCACCATAGCGCTTATAGCGAAGTTGTTCCTGTCTATTAAGGGCTCCATTGTGTGTATATTTTACACTAAATACTGGATTTGGCATCAGGGAACGTTCGAATCGATTCGTTGGCGCAATGCTGCATTTTGGAAATTCACTCTTATTATTAACATGTTAAAGTATCGTTTTGGTGCACATCCTTCACAGTTTCCACTAGAGTCACGCACTGTTTCCTCTTAAACGCGGTTGCAATAAGTTTAATGTATTATTTCGTTTATAAGCGGTTCTATAAGCTCGTCTCGTAAGCTTTACTGAAATAGATTTGACGTTTGCAGCGCGCAGGCGTCAGACTTCGGGTTCACGCATGCGCGGAACCTTGAACCTCTCTCAAGACTTTTGGAAGTACTTTTATTTGATAAACATTGAACAAAATATTTTAGAAATACCTCAATATTCTAGTAATTCTAATAGAATTAGTTAGTGAATGGGTATTGTCATACAAATTGATACGTAAGTAGGTCAGTGTGACGTAGATATCTCCGAGAATAGATTCCTCTTGTTCGTACGACATACCGACGTGTGTGTAGCTACATACATTCATATAGTATGTATATGTTGTGCGCCTGTATAGTAAAGTATTGCATGCGACAAAGTTGAGAGTTCCGCATTTAGAACTATACAATTAGTCCATTTTGTTCTTATGTGACACACTGCAGGGTTTCTTTGAAATTATTATTTTTTATATCAAGAACAACATCATCAAACAACGATTGTATTTTGTTTTTGGAAGTACTTCTCTCTTCTGTTAAAAGATGGTGTAATACACGTTACTACGTGTAACGTGTATTACACCACCTCAAGTGGTAAGCAGAGCCAGACAATCATGTATGAGTTTCGATCTGTGATTGAAGTAAAATCTATACTTAGGTACATAAATCTATAAAATGTGTTCAGTTGTATGTTTTAACGTGTTGATCTCCGGAATCACTTTTATATTGTTCTCTGTCCTGCTTTTACCTAACGCATGCTTTTATTTTATTCATTCTGCAATTAGTTTAAAGTTTCTATGCCTTGTCATTATAAAACACGAACCCTTTACTAAATAACCTGTTGAGTTTTCTGTGTAATAAATAAATAAAAAAAAGATAATTTGTATGCTGTAGGCTGGAGACGATAAGAGATGTATATTCTCCTCTGAACATGAGACCCTAAGTACCCTGGGTGCGGGCGACAGTCTCCCTAGCGGGGGTGATAGGGTTGGAGTGACTGTCGCCCGCAGCAGACTTCTGGACTGGGCGGGCGAACCCGATAGGGTTCTGGAGGCGGCGGGCTGTGTGCGGAGGCTCATAGCCCGCGCTTCCGAGGGGCGTTTCTCCGCCCGTCTCTCTGGACATAGCAGAGAGCGGGGGAGAGGCAAAGGCGGTGCTCGTTGTGCACTCACCCTGCCAGCGAGCAGCATCGGGACACAAGCTGTCCCCGATTGCAGCCGTCGATATCGTAATCCGTAAGGAGATCACGGTCATGTTTTGTGACTCTGAACGGGACGAGGGTCTTGGCTTGGTCGCCCGGACCGCGAGGAAGATAACCTCTATAAAAAATTCCTCTAATACTAAGTTCTGGTGCGCGGCGAGAGTATGCATGGCTGAGGAGTAGTGTCAGTCGCGAGCGCACCCCCAGCTAGGGGACCAGTGGAACCTCTAGTTGGGAAACAAATGAACACTTACCCAGGTACAGGGGGCACTGCCTGGGTGGACCGAATATTTCCCCCATACTCGTGGGAACTTTATGGAGAAAAATCAAAAAAACCACAACCGGAGGAGGAGAGTGCGGGTGAGCTTGGCTCGCCTGCAGTAGCAGAGAAGGGAGCCCAAGTGGCTCCGGGACTCGTGGTGAGGCGCTGGACTCGTCCAGCAGGCCCCACACACGGGAGTCTAGTCGAGGGGGTCGGACTCAGAGTCCGACACAACATTGGCGGAGCGGCTGAGCGTGAGCTCGAAAGGCTCACGCCGCCGCGCGACGGGGACGTTCAAACGCCCCAGGCTGGAGGAGGACAGTTTGTCCCCGTCCTCCGGCGCTCAGGAGGCGCCTCCCCCCAAGGTCCCCACGGCAGCGCGGGGTAGGGGCGGCAAGGGCAGCGGTCGCCGGAAACCGGCACCAGCTGCCTGCGCGGAGTCAGCCGAGCACTGGCGCGGAGGGCAGGGCTCTCTCGAGCGCTGCCCGTTCGGAGTCCTCTGCGGCCGAGATGTCCGGCGTGGAGATGTCGGAGGGCGAGCGCGGCTCTGAGAGCGAGAGCTGCTCCGGGGGCCTCCAACAGGCCATTACGGCGGAGCTCTACAAGCTGGCGATGGGGAAATCCCAGCCGGTTAGGCTCCGCCTCCTCAGGCGGCGGCGGCCACATAACGGAGGCGGCCTTGGAGCAGTGTGCGGTGCCCACTGCGGGAAAGGTGCGCTCCGAGCTGGCCGAGATGCGGCGAGAGCTGGCGCGCTTGGCGGCCTCCAATGCGGCTCTGGAGGCCGAGCTGCGGACGGCCAGGGCCGAGCTCGCCGCTGCTCGCGGCAGTCGCCCCCAGCCCCCGGCGGAGGCCGACGTAGTCGGACTGCTGCGGGCGGAGTTGGCTGCCTTCCAGCGACGTTTCGACGTGCTGGAGGGCAGGCTCTTGCGCCCCCACTCGCGGCGAGTCAGGTCGCCCCCGCGGTCCCGCGGTCGTACGCGGCCGCTGCGGCCAAGCCTTCGACCTCGGGTCAGGCTAGCCGCAGCTCCCAACCGCCGGCAAGGGCGCGACCGGCTGCCCCAGCGAGGGCCTCGGCGCCCCCGCCGGCGCAGACCCCAGCTGCGCCGACGGCGCCAGCGCCCGCAGGGCGCAAGGAGAGGAGAGGCGCTCCAGCCCGGCAGGCTGGAGTTGCGGCAGCGGTGGTGGAACCCGCCCCGCGAGCGGAGGACGGCGGCGGGTGGCAAATCGCCGGCGAGGCGAGGAGAGTCGCCAGGAGGGCCGGAAGCGCCGCAAAAGGCGCAGCGGCAGCGACGGCAGCAGCAGCGCAGGGAGAAACGCGCTGCTGCCTTGCTCCTCGCCCCTAAGACCGCGGCTGTAGTGATTACGCTGCAGCCCGAGGCGGTCAATAGGGGCGTCACTTATGGCGACGTCCTCGCCAAATTGAAGGGGGCGGTACTCCTGCGGAGTTCGGGGCCCAGACGGGTTCGCGGTCAAGGTGACCGCTACCGGAGCCCGTCTTTTGGAGGTCCCCGGCGCGACCAGCGGCCCATCGGCCGACGCCCTGGCCGAGAGGCTTAGGGCGTGCCTCGGTGCGGACGAGGCCCGCGTGTCCAGGCCACCAAATGCCTGGATGTCAGGATTTGGGCCTGGACGACTCCGTAACGGAGAGTGAGGTGGTGGCCGCTGTGGCCAGGACGGGAGGGTGCCCTGCTGACCAAGTTAAGGCAGGCGCCATCCGCCCGACAACTCGGGGCTGCGCACTGTTGTGGTCAGCTGCCCCCCGTCACAGCGGCCAAGAAGCTGAAGGAGGGCAAAAGGCTCTTGGTGGGATGGGTCTCGGCGCAGGTCAAGCTGCTCGAGACCCGGCCTCTGAGGTGCTACCGCTGTCACGTGGGGGAGCACGTGAGTGTCAAATGCACCTCGGAGGTGGACCGCAGCGACTGTTGCTTCCGCTGCGGTCGGCCCGGTCACAAGGCCGGCTCGTGCTCCGCCCCGCTGCACTGCAATGCATGTGCGGCGGCTGGCAAGCCGGCCAATCACCGGGTCGGGAGCAAAGGCTGCTCCCCTCCCGCCAAACCCAAGGGCAAAGGCAGGCCCTCCGCCGCCCCTGCCGTTTCCGCCGCCGCCGCCGCCACTGCCACCGCAGTCGCCGCTGCCGCCACTGAGGAGATCGGAATGGACTGCCAATAATGGCCCCATTCCGCCTCCTCCAGGCGAACATCAACCGCTGCGCCGCTGCTCAGGTTCTCCTGCTCCAGAGCATGGCGCAGTGGTCGATCAATGTCGCCGTGGTCTCCGAGCCGTACTTTGTCCTGCCCAGGGATCACTGGGTGGCGGACCTGGACGGCTCGGTGACCATCATCTCGTCGGCCGCCGCCGGTACCCCGACTCTTGAGGCTGCTCAAAGAGGCCGGGGTTGTGTCGCAGCACGGTTCGGAGAGCTCGCTGTGGTGGGCGTGTACTTCTCTCCGAACCGAACTCTCGCCGAGTTCCACAACTCCTTGAGGGAGTTGGTCACTGTCGTCGTCGGGTTCCGTTCCCTCCCCGTGCTCGTCCTCGGGGACTTCAACGCCAAAAACTTGGCTTGGGGTTCCCGGTTCACCGACGTCCGGGGTAGGATGGTGGAAGACTGGGCCCTTGAGACAGGCCTAGTCGTCCTGAACCGGGGTTCTGTCCCCACGTGTGTGCGGATGCAGGGCGAGTCGGTGGTGGACATTTCGTTCGCCAGCCCTGCTCTGTCACCGCGTATTGTTGGCTGGCGCGTCATGGAGGAGGTGGAGACGTACTCCGACCACCGGTATATCCGGTTCGACGTCTCCGCCGAGTCCGCAGACCCGCCGGTCAGACAGGCCCCATGTGGCCCGCGTTGGGCGCTGAAACAGCTGGACCGGGAGCTGCTCCTGGAAGCCGCCATCGTGCAGGCCTGGGTGATACCACCGGTCAGGCCTGCCGACGTTGACGATGAGGCCAAGTGGCTCCAGGACGCCATGTCCAGGATCTGTGACGTGGCGATGCCCCGGATCCGGTCGAGGCAACAGAAGCGCCAGGTGTACTGGTGGTCGCAAGAGCTGGCGGCTCTGCGCAAGGCGTGCACTACTGCGCGACGCCAGTACACTAGGCACCGCAGGCGCCGTATCCGTCCTCCTAATGCGGAGGCGAGAGAGGCGGAGTTATACGAGGGATACAGGGCGGCGAAGGCCCTCCTCAAGGCGGAGATATTGCGGGCCAAGGAGGAGGCCCGCCGAGAGATGCTGGGGACTCTGAATAGAGACCCGTGGGGACGCCCGTACCTGATGGTACGCGACAAGCTCCGTGCTTGGGCTCCCCCGCTCACTCAGAGTCTCCGGCCAGAAGTCTTGGAGGAGGTGATTGGCGCCCTGTTCCCCCGACTGTGGAGGGGCTTCACCCCTCCGTATATGACTCCGCCCCCTGCGGTGCCCGACGCGGGCTACAGCGACGACGACGATGACATCGTCCCAGAGGTGACCGAGGCAGAATTGAGAGCGGCGGTGCGCCGGATGGGCGCCAAGAACACCGCCCCAGGACCCGACGGCCTGCATGGCAAGGCATGGGTCCTGGCCTCAGAGGCTCTCGGGCCTCGATTGATTGGTCTCTACAGCGCATGTCTGGAGAGAGGCCAGTTCCCGCTTCTCTGGAAAGCGGGCAAACTGGTCCTCGTGCGGAAGACGGGGCGCCCTGCGGACTCTCCGTCCGCGTACCGGCCCATAGTGCTGCTCGACGAGGTGGGGAAAGTCTTCGAAAGAATCATTTCGAACCGCCTCGTCGCGCACCTGACGGACATTGGGCCGGACTTGTCGGACGGCCAGTTCGGCTTCCGCAGAGGGCGCTCCACGGTGGACGCCATCATGCGCGTTAGAGACCTCACGACGGGGACTGCAGTGTCCAGGGGTAAGGTCGTAGTGGCGGTGTCTCTGGACATCGCCAACGCCTTCAACTCCCTGCCCTGGAGCTGCATCTTGGAGGCACTCCGATATCATCGGGTGCCTACCTACCTCCGTCGTGTAATCGAGGCTTACCTGACGGACAGGTCCGTCAGCTACCCCGGTCACCGGGGCGAGTGGAACCGGCGAGAGATGTCACGCGGTGTTCCACAGGGTTCGGTTCTGGGGCCGCTCCTGTGGAACATCGGCTATGACTGGGTGCTGCGCACCGACCTCCCGAACGGCGTTAGCACAATATGCTACGCCGACGACACGCTGGTGCTAGCGCACGGGAGGTCGCACCAGGCGGCGGCCGACTTAATGGCGACAGCGGTTGCGACAGTCGTTGAAAGAATCCGGCAGTTGGGACTCGAGGTGGCGCTCCACAAGTCCGAGGCCATGTGTTTTCATGGCCGCGGGAACGCGCCACCTCCGGGTGGGTCCCAAATAACGGCGGGAGGGGTTACCATCGGCGTCGAGACGGCGATGAAGTACCTAGGACTCGTCCTCGACAGTCGGTGGAACTTCATAGAGCATTTCCGACGTTTGGCTCCAAAGTTGGAGAGGACGGGGGCTGCGTTCAAACGCATCCTCCCCAACCTCGGGGGGCCAAACGCCTCCTGCCGGAGGTTATACGCCGGGGTCGTGCGGTCCATGGCCCTCTACGGCGCCCTGTTTGGGCGCCGAACTTGTTGCGGCGTCCTGCTCGGACGCTGCTCAAGTCACAGAGGGTCATGGCGATCCGAATGATCCGCGGATACCGCACGATCGCTGGGGAGTCGGCGAACCTCCTTGCCGGATTACCGCCGTGGGATCTGGAGGCGAAGGTGCTCGCGCGCGTGTATAACATGCGCGCGGAGGCACGTCGCCGGGGCGAAACTCCGCTGCCGCGCCAGATAAGTGCGTGGCGGGATGAGCTCCGGCGCGATCTCATGGCGGAATGGCAGCAGCGACTGTCGCAACCGAGGGCTGGGCTCGCTGCCATTGCAGCGGTAAGTCCCCTCTTTGAGGAGTGGCTTGAGAGACGCTACGGCGTCCTCACCTACCGCCTGACGCAGGTCCTCACCGGACATGGAAGTTTCGGGAGGTACCTGTGTCTGATGGGGCGGGAGGAAACGCCCGGGTGTCATCACTGCGAGGACCGCCCTGAGGACACGGTGGAACACACCGTAGCGGAATGCCCTGCGTGGGCTGAGCACCGCCGTGCCCTCAGGGAAGTGATCGGTGATGGCGACCTCTCGCGTCCGGGCCTAGTGCAGGCCATGATGCGGAGCGAGGGGGACTGGGATGCCGTCTCCTCCTTTTGCGAAGCAGTCATGCTAGCTAAGGAGGAGGCGGGACGCGTGAGGCAGCGAAGCGCTGCCTCCTCGCGACCCAGCCATCGCGAAGGACACACCGGGCGTCGGGGATCGCGGGACGATCTCCGGCCACCGTGAGCGCGGGCCTGCGGACGGCGAGCATGGGTGGCTCCCCGTCCGACCAGAAACAGACCCGAGCGTACGGCGCGTCGCGTTCCGCGCGCGCCTCAAAGAGCCATCAGACCACCACAGATGGGGCCCAATAGGGCCGATGCCGATTCGGAGTCGCGGAGAACCTAACGGGTAACCGGGGCTCCGGCTCGACGTGCAGGAGAAGGAACGGGGTGGTTTTTAGTCAGTAAGAGTCTGACACTCCCTTCCGCCTCACCCAGGCGGGAGCAGTCATTCGATGATTTTCCCCCCTTAAAAAAAAAAAAAAAAAAAAAGTATGAAACATAACATAACATCACGCCTTTTATCCTCGAAGTGGTAGACAGAGGTGCACATTATGCTACTACAATGTAACACCCACTTATCACTCTTTATGTTATGAGTCCTATGTAATAAGGGTTGAGCCTATTGCAATATACGGGGCACATTTCCAGTCTTTGTGCTAGTACTGAGATTTTATTTTAAAAAACCCAGTAATACTTTGCCCGACCCGAGAATCGAACCCGAGACCCCTTGCCCGGCAGTCGCAATTACGACCACTCGGCCAACGTAAATATACCTACTGAGAAAAGCTCGACTATTTTTAAGTCCCTACTCTTCCTCATAAGCAGCATATACATTAGTTAATTCAGTATGTTTCACGATAGTTATTATAAAAACATGAAACCACATTATTTAGGTATGTTTCGTACAAGTATATCGGTAACATGAAAAACATATTTCCTTTTGTTATAAATTGGAGATTAAGATTAGATGTGCACATTAATTTTTAATTTCTGGTACTGATCGTCATGACTGATAAACATGTACAAGTTTTCCAATTTGTATTCATTATTCATATGTTATCGGTTTTTTTATTATTAAATAGGGCGGCGACTATAGAACTATTTAACTAGAGAATTGTATTGTGAACCTGATTTAAAAACAGTAACCTATGGAGTTTCTTGCTCGTTCTTCTCCATAGGAATCTACAACTTGGAATGAGCAAATAGCTTCACTTTAAATTTTCTTGTTGACGTTCCAAACTGTCTTTTATGATTTTGACATTGACTTTTAGCTTTGTAATGAATTTTTCGAATTCGGGTCAGAATAAACTAATCACAATCGAATTAGTAGATTTTGAGAAATGTATGGATAATTTGTATTTGTTTATAGACACATATGACTTTTTTGACCTAATAAGGGTCCCAGGAAGATACAGAACGCAGGTTGCTTCGAACCGGCCTATCTGGAAGTCATTGGGGGATGCCTATGTTCAGCAGTGGACGTCCTGTGGCTGATATGATGATGATGATGATGAAGAGATTTGTGTCCCTAAATGGATAGATTATTGTAATTGGATTATAGTAAGGAGTTTCTTGCTCGTTCTTCTCCATTCGAATCTATATTTTGGAATGAGCACCTAGCTTCACCTAGCTTCACTGACGGACTGACTGACAGACTATTATTTATTTTGTATTTGTTGACATTTCAAAAGTACCAAATTATGGTTTAATTGAAATAAAAATATCTTGCAGTTTTATTTTTAATATAATAATATGATGGGTCGACGTTTGACCACTATCTCGCCAGGTGGTAAGCGATGATGCGGTCTACGATGGAGCACGTCGACCCATTAGTAAACTTTTCACTAGTTTCAACAATACTACGTGTTCACAAATGCGTCGTACATAAATACGTACATACGTAAATAACCTCTTTTATTTAAAATCGGTTAAAACAAAATGTTTTATGTTGTCGATGATTCAGTTAAGAGATAACGTATCACAGGATTATCGTAAAGAGACGTGCTAGACAAAGGAGTGATAAAACCGTAAATTTTTATTTTTATTCTGATAATGTGACGTCCAAAAACCATTGTCCTGCGACGACGACTGATATGGTTACGATGAGAGTTCAGGTTATAGTGGTGTTAAGCTTTAACTTCGAAGCAATTAAATATAAATGTAATTGATATTTGATTATAGTCGCTATATACATACACAGATATACGTCACAATGTTCAGAGGTGATTGTATATAATATGGTTTGGGCCTCTAGTGTTAAAGGTGTACTTAGGTTACGAACACAGCTTACATCTTTTCATACTATCCTTACAAATACTATAAATCTGAAAGTGAGTTTGTTTGTTTGTTCCACCTTCACGCCGTAACTACTCAACCGATTGCTTTGAATTTTTGCAGACGTAAAGTTAGAAGTCCGGATTAAATAATAGGATACTTTTTAAACCGGAAAAAATGATATTCCCGAGGAAAAACGAAAGTATTGGTATAGATGGCGCTGTGTGTATTGGTATATGTCACACAGGCTACTTTTTATTTTGTGACGCGAGCGAAGCCGCGGGTAAAAGCTAGTAATATTATAAATGCGGAAGTTTGTGTATTTGTTTGTTACTCAATCGCGTCAAAACGGCTGAAGAGATCGTAATGAAATTTGAAACAGGGTTTAGATTATGGTCTGGAATAACACATAGGCTCCAACAGGAACGTGAGCGAAGCCACGGGCAGAAGCTAGTTAAACAAAAAGGTGGGACTATTTTTTTTTTGGGACTTTTTTTTTAAGGGGGTATAATCATCGAATGACTGCTCCCGCCTGGGTGAGGCGGAAGGGAGTGTCAGACTCTTACTGATTAAAAACCACCCCGTTCCTTCTCCTGCACGTCGAGCCGGAGCCCCGGTTACCCGTTGGCCCTAAGCCTTGTTGCTATCGACAATAATGTCACAAAGCACAGACTTTAAAAAATAACCTTTGGTGTTTTAGATGTAGGTACATGGACGGCGCATATTGATTCGCCTTCAAATAAACCAAAAGTACTCACGTGGTGTTTAATCCTTGTTCAATGTTGTTGTCGTTAATGTATGCTTTAGCCATATCAGCGAGCATCAGCTGGAAGTCATCCTTAATGGCCTTGAATTGAGCCAAGGTGAGGCCAGCAAGGTTCAAGGTCAAAGTCTCCCGTGGTGGTTGGATGACCGCCTCAGCATCAGGCAGGTCTTCTTCAAGTTCTGGGAGAGACCCTGAAAGATAATTTGAATGGTCATCATTTCTGTTCTTTGGTGTACAAGTTTTTGATGGAAAATATCACCATTAGCAACATCTAGTGAACTGTAGATCCTGGTTTACAGGAGTTGTAGTGGTTTAGGGAAATCTTATAATAGTCTTCTTCACGATTATAGAGTTCTTTTGTATAAGAGAGGTAACATGTCGTTTGGAAGGCGGAATGGAGATCGTGGTCTAAAAGGTTACGGTTGACCAGAGAGCGCTGCTCCCACCACTACCGGTCTTTAACAAAGACATTCGTGGAAACCGTAGGGGTGGCAATGTATTTTACTTTATTGCCACAATGATTTTATTAAGTGAAGACGACCACATATTCCTAACCACGCATGCATGCATGTTTGTAGGTAACTCCTTTAGGTTACGAGCCTCCATGGGCGGCGCCGATTGCTTACCATCAGTTGATTCCTTAACTCGTATGCATCATAAAATAAAGCGTTGAATGAAAAACTTACATATCATTTTGACTGACAGACTGAACCCACGATGCAATTGCCAGCGAGCATCGTTGGCTTGGAACCTGATGAACACGCGGTCCACGCCAGTGAACCTGTATTTGCGTTCTGATCTCAGACGATGCGCGAATACAAGGCCATCTGAACCGGAAGCATCGAGACCACCTGAGAATCATCAGAAGTTATCATTATCATCATCAACAACAACATTTACTGGGAGCAGCTTCTTCTTACGTTAAGATAATTTATCGCCACACAAAATTAAAGCAGGTTGGCAATTTCAAACTTATAATTACCTGGTTTGATAAGTAAAAAGTCACCGGTAACTGAATTGAGATCCAAGGTAGTAATGTTTAGCTCAATGCCATGGCCTGGTCCCTCTAGAATCCAATCAATGATGTTGTTTGGTTCGTAGGCATTAGGGTGATTAGGGGATTCTATAACGGTAGGCGTATCTACAGACAAGGTAATGTGAACAGGTGCTACATGTTTAGCAAAACTTTCAGAATTGGGGTCTAATTCTTCCTGGTGAGTAGCGACAAACTGTGCTGTAAGCTGTTCGAGCTCAGCACTGCTCAAATCATCAACCATCTTTGTCTTTTGCTCAGTTGTATCCTCGATATTCGCTTGTGTCGTTTCAAACTCAACTGCATCTGCGTTTTTAGTTTGTTTTTCATCTACTAAACCATCGTCTCCATACGGTTGTTGCTCTTTGACATCTTCATTGAATATCTGTTTAATAATACTATCGAGATCATCATCAGCGTTTGGTTCAGTATCAGTAAGTTCGTCGTAATTATCAACGTAGTCGATTATTTTTTTATCCTCTTCATTTTCTTGTGGTGAAGCACTAGTTGCAGCTTTTTCCTCTGGTTCAACGTTTCCATCGACTTCCTGTGACTCAGATTTGTTCTCTGTTTTCTCATTTTCAGCAAATATTTGTGACAAGTTACTGTCTTCAATCTCGACATAGTCATTATCATCTTTATGTTCCGTGGAAACAATATTATCATCTGCTCCTAACTCATCATTGAAAAGCTCATCATGTTTCTGTTCATCTTTCTGTTCATCAGCCACAATATTCTCATCTGCTCCTAACCCATCATTGAAAAGCTCATCATCTTTCTGTTCATCTTTCTGTTCATCAGCCACAATATTCTCATCTGCTGCAAATGCATCAAGAGGTTCATCAACTTGCTTAGAATCTTGTGGTTCTTGATCAACAGCTTCTGAGTTTGGCACAACCTTATCAAGATCTTTGTTCTCTTCATCTTCATTTGAATTATCATCGCTCAATTTATTAAATGTTTCAATTAATTTATCTAAATCAGCATTGAGGTCAGCATATACTTTTGCAGGTGTGTCTTCCTCAGAGTTATCAGTTTTTTCATTGATAATATCTTCTTCGCTCTTTTCTAGGTCTTGTTCTTGAGAAGCATCAAAGTCACTGGCATCAAACTCATCATTCATTTCCGACAATAGTTTATTTGTCTCTTCGATGATGTTATCTATATTTTTTTCACTAGCGGGAGTCTCTTCTGGCACTTTTTCTTCATCTAAGCTATCCTTTTCATTGTTCAGTATTGCTTCAGTATCCTTAAAAATTTCATCGTCATTTTCAGCTGCTGGTACTGGTAGTGGGTCAACATCATCTGCTACTGCGTCACGCCATAGGGGATTATCAGCCTCAAAGTCTGGGTACTCTTCATTATCTGGTTCAGGTGCTCCTAGGGGTAGAACTTTGTGTTCCTCTAGACTTTGGTCCTCCAGTTTTTCTTCTTCAGCTGGTAAGTCTTGATTTTCTTCAACTTGTTCCTTTGATCGGTTATCCTCGATTTGGTAGTCTGGGATGGCGTTAGAATCTGCTCCTGCATCATTATCATTGTCAGCTGGTTCTGGTAGAGGTTGTGTGTCTGGGTCTTGTAGTACATCGTCTGCTTCTGCTGACTTGCTTGCATCGGCTGGTTTTACGTCTGTGCTTTCATCACTGGTATCAACATATGAGTCGTATAAATTGTCGTAATCATTTTGAAAGTAATCTGGATTTGCATCGCCTTCTTGCGCTGAAACAATGAAATAAGGCATTATTAACATATGTCTAAAACATAAAATACAATACTAGTCTAACAACAGTTTTTCCTTCAATTTCTCTAAAGAAGATGAAATATTTAAAAAACTATTAGTCGAAACGATTTATTAATTTATAGGTTAGTGGCATTAAGCAACAATATTGGACAATTAATTTGTATTTATATAGAATAGAACCAAACGAGAGTCATTGCGACGTTGCCGCTCTTACGTCTAAATTAATTAAATTGAACTTTAAGAGTGGTTATAGTTATATGGACCTATAAGCACCGTACTATTTATAAATATGCTGTCATCTTCAGTTCTCAAGCAAATCGTTCAGGAAAATAATAAACGATATTTTAATAGTACTTGCTATGTCTAACCGCAGACTTAATGACAATTGTAACATTTAACTGTTTGATTTCTCTTTGCTCTAATTAAACTACATACTTAGCAAGAATGAGATCTTAAGTATACTAATAAGTAACTATTTTTTTTTTTTTTATTTTATTTTATTTATTTGGGAAAATTAACAATTATACACTATAATAATACATTATAACAAATATCAAAGAATAGAATAAATGTATAATCAACGACATTCTCCACAGAATACAAAAAAAAAGTAGTTAAAAGAAGTCGTACAATTTAGGTAGGCACACTACATACATAAATTCACAAACAAAACTGATACAGTCATAAACCATAGTTTACAATGTGTCTAAATTATAAATTTTTACATCGGTAAAAAGGAAGCGATAACATAATTAATCAAATACAACAGTTAATGAATATGCATTGTATGTTTAAATGGATATATAAAAAAAAACACCTTAAAAAAAATGTATCTATGAAATAATTATTGAGTCCAATCATTACCAGATTCCCGGACAAGGTTTCTGAATTTATTTTTAGACGCTGCGAACAAATCAATGTGGCTAAAATATTTATTGTACTGATCAGCGATGCGACGTAAAGGTGCCCTTAAGCCTGCATTAGTATGACATGAGCCAACGAAGAATACAGGTCTCGAGCGCACCCCACGGCTCACTATTGTTCTGGGCACTACATACCGCATTCGATTGGAAATGTCCATACAGTCATATGCATTGTTACATAAATCATACAAAAACATAGTCTCCAAAATTAATCTCCTAGTCTGAAGACCGGGAAGTTTGTACCTTTTAAGCAAGTCATTATAGCCTGCAGCCACACGAAAACAGCGATGATGAACAGCTTTTAAAAATTTATTTTGTATTCTTTCTATACTATTTGAATATTTAATATAAAAGGGATTCCACACCGGCACCGCATACTCCAACTGAGACCTGACCAAAGACTTATAAAGATATAAGTATGTACTTGGGCGTAAAAACTCCGTTGACGATCTCATCACAAACCCGAACATACGATAGGCGTTGCCGACAATCCTACTTATGTGTGCATCTAGGTGTAGTTTATCATCCAGCAAAACTCCGAGATCACGGACCATGGGCACTCTCAACAAAACAGCATTATTTAGGGAATACGGATATCTAATAATCTTTTTATTCTTTGTGAAACTTATGCAACAGCATTTTGGAATGCTAAGTTTTAGTTTATTTTTATCGCAATATTGACCAAATCTATCTAAATCTTCTTGTAATAGCTGACAATCCTGAAAGGTTTTTATAGTTTTAAAAATTTTTAGGTCATCTGCGTAAAGGAGTAATTTGGAATATTTAAAACAGTTGTTTATGTCACTAATAAACAATATGAAAAGAAGAGGCCCAAGAATCGATCCCTGAGGTACTCCAGATGTTGCCTCTATCGTAACAGAGTTATAACCATTGATAACAACCCTCTGGGTTCGATTTGAGACGTAAGAAGCAAACCATCTCAGCAAATCGCCGTGCACACCATTGAAGGCGAGCTTAGCCAGGAGAAGTTGGTGATCAACCTTGTCAAAAGCTTTTTGAAAATCTGTGTATATTGAATCGACCTGTAAACGCGAGTCCATATTATTAAATAAATAATCTACAAAATCAACCAAATTAGTTGTAGTGGACCTTCTTTTTACAAATCCGTGTTGTTCCTGTATTATTTGATTGTGAAAGAAGGGATAAACTTTATCATGGACTAGCCGCTCAAATACCTTTGACAAAGTAGACAGTATCGATATAGGACGATAATTCCTGATATCCTGCTGAGAGCCTGACTTATAAACTGGCGTTATGTTTGCACTCTTCCATAAAGTAGGGAAGACACCTTGAGAGATGGATTGGTTGTATATAATATATAAGGGGATACATAAGTGCTTAGCTGTGTTCTTAACAAAAACTACAGAGACGTTATCTGGACCTGGTCCCTTAGATAGATCTAATGATTTTAGTGCCCTTAGTACTTCATTGACATTAAACTCAATGTTACCGAGCAACGAACAGCTTTCGGAGCGATCTCTATATGCATTATCATGCATGTTATGCAGGGTAGACTCCTCATAAACCGAGTTAAAGAAACTAGAAAAGAGATTGCATATCTCTTCAGGATCGCTAGAGGACCGGTCGTTATAAGTCATATTAGAAGGTATGCTAGTAGTGGATTTACGATTCGATATGTATTTCCAAAAGTGCTTAATGTTCGTCCTAATGCCATCCTCAACAGATTTAATATATTTAGTGTAACAGATCTTACATTCAGTCTGAAATCTCGACCTATACAACGCAAAATAAAAATAAAATAAAGTAACTAATTACTCTTTTAACCAAGCATTCCTAAACCATCTCTTAACTAAGAGATACTTAGCGTCATCATCATCATCATCATCATTAACAGCCGGAAGACCTCGCAACTTAGCATCATGGAGCACCTAAACTCAAACTAAAACTTATAGGTTGGTGAATTGCAAAATGCCTGCCTCATTGGCCGAGTGGTCGCAAGTGCGACTGCCGGACAAGGGGTCTCGGGTTCGATTCCCGGGTCGAGCAAAATATTACTGGGTTTTTAAAAAAATCTCAGTAGTAGCACGGCGCCTGGAATTGTGCCCGGTATATGGCAATAGGCTCACCCCCTATTACATGGGAGTCATAACATAAATAGTGAAAAGTGGGTGTTACATTGTACAGTGGCATAATGTGCAACTCTGCCTACCCCTTCGGGGATAAAAGGCGTGATGTTATGTTGATGTTTATGTTGAATTGCAAAAGGTTGTTAAGTGTCATCTATCTCAGCTTAGGTGTTCCTTAAAACTTAATAGTGGTTGGTGGAAATTGGCATTAAAGTCTCAAATTCTTTATACCATTCACTCGTATACCAATTTTTTTTTTCTAGAACGATACGTAGCATAAAAAACATAACATAACATCACGCCTTTTATCCCTGTAGGGGTAGGCAGAGGTGCACACAGAAGTAACACCCACTTTTCACTATTTATGTTATAAGTCCCATGTAATAGGGGGTGAGCCTATTGCCATATACCGGCACATTTTCAGACTCCGTGCTACAACTAAGATTTTTTTTTAAAAATCCAGTAATACTTTGCCCGACTCGGGAATCGAACCCGAGGCCACTTGCCCGGCAGTCGCACTTGCTACCACTCGGCCAACGAGGCGGTACTAGCATAAAAACTAACTACAAATTGCTTTTTGACTTGTAATAAAACTAAAACTATTATCACACAAAGAGGTCACATGACATGACCAACTATAACCGAACGAAATAACAAGAAGTAATTCTATATAAGTATTTTTCAGGGTAGAAACCACAATAATACAGTACCTAACAAATGAGTAATGAATAATGGCGGACTATTTATACTGTCATACATAAACAACTTGTAATATATGAGTAAAGTCGTTTAAATTAATATTCAGTTTTATTGCAGTAGCTATTATCACTGACTCATTGTGAACTTCACGCATGTTTTTACTTTTAATACACGGCCATGGCTAAAGTAACTATGAAGGTTATAGTATAGAATCAGTGTGGGAGAGCCATGCTTCAGCACGAATGGGCCGGCTCGACCGGAGTGATACCACGGCCTCACAGAATACCGACGTGAAATACCGCTTGCATTGTGTTTCGTCGTGTGAGTGAGGTTACCGGAGGCCCAATTACCCGATAATATAATAATCGTTCAACTGCAGAGTAAAGGCCTACCGTCCACTCATCATCTGTGTATCTGTGTGCCATCCGATTTGGAAAAAAAGGACTTTCCTTTGTCAACATTTACTGGAAAGATTTGTTGTTGTCAAATTGCTAATTAACAAGAAACTGACAAGAAAATCGAGAGATTGTGTTTCTTAACGGAGGCCAAAAGCCACCAGAGTGAGTGAGTACAATGTATAGTGAGTACCAGGTATAGAAAATTATGCAACTCACGACACGAGTCAGTGTATAGTTCGTGAGTCAAAATTTATTTTATGAATGTGCCTACAAAAGTAGCGATAAGTTTTTAAATAGATGCCTTATTAGGCAAAAGTAAACCGCATCGACCAATACTTCACGACCGGCACATAAATGGGTACCTACAACTTATAATAGAGCATTATTACTCATTTGTTTATTGACTGACTCGTTGGCCGAGTGATCGCAAGTGCGACTGCCGGGGTCTCGGGTCGGGCAAAGTATTTCTGGGTTTTTGAAAAAATAAAATCTCAGCAGCAGCACAGTGCCTGGAATTGTGCCCGGTATATGGGAATAGGCTCACCCCTTATTACATGTGACTCATAAATAACATAAATATTGAAAAGTGGGTGTTACATGGTACAATTCTGGAATTCTTTGCCAGAGTCTATATTTCCTGAAGGGTACAACCTGGGTGTCTTCAAGGCCCGAGTGAATAGGTTGCTTATGGGACGACGTGCTCCATCGTAGACCGCAACATCGCTTACCACCAGGCGAGATAGTGGTCAAGCGTCGGGCCATCAAATGTAAAATTATTATTAATTATTAATAATTTTTTTATTACATTACATTACATTATACATCATACATTACATTAATTTGATACAAG